TATGGATCTATGGGATGCGGTTGGCGTTGTATGTATGCGAAATGTTACGTCTCCAACTGGAGACTGTTTATAGTACGAAGGCCTTTGAGGGCATCAAAGAACGTCATCAACAAGTGTCGTTCGTTGTGCCTGTTGGTCAATGATTTGTTCCGTTGTCACGCCAGGCCTGACCTCGGCTTTCCCACAAACCCTCTGCAGTCGAAGCCCAAAGATCGCGCATCCAAAGACGACCAACAGGCCAAGAGTGGCAGGAGTAGCGAACGAACGGGATATGTAAAGCATGCTCGAGCTACCTCTCTGATGACATGGGTCTCGAGCACCATAACAAACCTGCGAAAAGCGTCCAAACGCTATGCCGCAGTCGCATTATAGAAGCCGATTTGTGGAGAGAATCGACTCGAGCCAGCAGAGCCCGACACTGCTGCCAACCAAACCCTCCGCAAAAAGACATAAACGATACGATCTCCCGACCTGGAAAGGTCATTTCTAAGCAAGCTCAGGCGCGTCATGAGACGGATGAGATGGCGTCAGCGACCTTCCAGGGTTTGGTAAAAAGAAACGCCATCCGGACGGGAAACCAAACAACAAACAAACAACGTGAGGTGAATGCGCCCAAGCCTGACCTGAAAATGGTATGGGATTCTTATCTGGGCAGCGCAATTTCCATACGTCGAGGGCTGACATGAGAAATGCAAGGGGGGAGAAGTACATTCATCGTCCGTGGGGGCACATGTGCCTGTCCATACCAGCATTGTACACAACGTGGCTCTTGTCTGGTACAATTGAAGTTCGGTGATGCAAAGCCCCGGGCAACCCATAAGCCCTTCATCCGGTACAGTGAGGTGGTTTGAGCAATACATGCAAGGCTGCACATGAGGTAGCGCACGCGAGATATTCTGTTGGAGGTTTGGGGCTGGCTATCTCGATTGTGCTCCGGCAATTATGCTTGGGCAGGGTCAAGTAGCGTTGCGGGTGAAGCAACGGCTACTACCTTACTCGACAAGACCACCCGCCGCGATCTGCAGCATAAGCTTGCGCCTAATCGTCAGTGGTCGCAAAAATCCACTTTGTGAGAAACAACGAGTGATGAATCGTCAACGACGGCGTCGCGGATTGAGCGTCGCTCGCGCCAGCAACGACTCATGCATTCCGACCTCCGTCTTTTGATGGCTGTGCTGACCGCCAAACTGACCGCCAAGCCACGCTGCGCGGCGGATCAGGCGCATGTAGGCCAGGTGATGCTGAGGGCTGGAATGCAGCGAATGCCAAATGGCAACGTGGTCGCCGAACATGCTGTCAAAGCTTGCGGCAAGCACTTTAGACCCCTGCCCTCGCTACAGGCACCCTGGAAATCGAACAAACGCCTATATCCACCCTTCCGACGCACGCAATGACATCTGAGGATGCCTGCAAGAGGATATTGGTAGAGTTCCGTGAGGCAGTCGACACACAGCTGAGCAGACTCCAGGGGGCTAGACAAGCATCAGCGACGGAGAGACCGCGGGTAGGGTTTCGAAACCGAAGCTTGGCTTCCTGACGGTCCTGCTGGCTGCGCTACTGACGAGGGAGAGGACGGCGCCGAACAGGTGTGCCGGATCGAGGGAGACCATGGTGGGGTAGACGCGGGCTTCCCCCTTCCAATGAAGCAAACGCCGTGCAGTGCAGCTGGTTCTACGACTTCTGCACGTGGTGCTGTTTGCGTTTCCACCGGGGCACCTAGCTCGATCGGCGTGTCAGTCAAAGTCATGCATGGATAGAAAGGAGCGAGACTCCAGTGTCACGGCCCTGTGTCTGTGTCACGGGCCTGATTCATGACGGATGCCCGTTCGTTTGACTTTGACTCCCTTTCTCCTGAGAGGCCTCTTCTCCTGAGAATCATTCGAATTTGGTGTGACGGGGCGGCATTTCGCTGGCGCGTTCTCACGGATCACATCCCCGGGAGGAGGGGCTCAAGCCAGGGGCGGTCGCGTTCCCGTCTCGTTGGAGAGGAAGCTGATTGGGCTGGAGGGTGAAGGATGTTGATGAAGCAGGGGTCAAGGTGAAGCGAATCGAGCGACTGCAGGGCCAATTTGGGCAGAGGAGGTTGGGTGTCTTGGGGTGTGACGAAGTGACGGGGAGGTATTTCCTGCTAGGTCCTGATCCTCTCATAGCGACCCGGCCTGATTGCCGATCCGTTCTTGGGCCGACTTTGGGCTGAACGGTTGGCGGTCGTCGCGTGCTGAAGAAAAAAGGAAGAGAAATGGGGACTGATGCAAGGAATGTCAGTGAAAGATTGTCAGTTGTATGCTGCATTAGAATACAAGCGATACATGAGAAGAACTGGACATGTTCGGTGGACAGGTAGGAGCCTGTGAAGATTTTTTTGTCGGTCCTGGAAGGAGGACTCGTCGCTACTGCCTGGCAGGTGCCGAGATGCTTCAGATTGAATCATTCAAGGCAGTGAGGAAGGGCAGGAAGAGCTAGTGGGCTGGACGGGAGGGTCCGTTGCGGGCGGCCCCTTCCCTATGCCTCTTGTTGAAGCTACATAGTAGGTACGTTGGCTGAGAAGTCGCCCTAAAATGGAGAATGGAGGGGGCCCAGGGGCAGGCCCGGCCCAGCCCAACTTGCCTCCCAGCTGCACTAACACCAGTGACATGTAGGTACCTTAGGTACCTACCTACCTACCTACCTACCTACCTACCTGGGTACAGTACCTGGTGAGGATGTACCTGGAGCTGGCCAACGCAACGCTAATGCTGCACAACAAACCACAACGCCCACACACAGCCCAGGCACAATTGGCGGGCAAGAAGGAAAGAAGCACAACTGGCGAGACGACAAACTCCAATGAGCAACAGCAGCCGTCGTGCCGGGCGTCACTTCGTTTCGTTTCACCTCGCTGGAAGCAGACGGCACCCAAGTGGAGGTCGTTTCCTGGCTGCCTCTCCTTTCTGTCTCTCTGCCTCTGCCTCTGTCTCTGTCTCCCTCCATCTTCTCCTCCATCTTCTCCTCCCACAGGCACATTACCCAACAAGCCCTCTTCCTGCTCCTGCATCCTCCTGTAGAGACGCGCCGCCCTTCGCTCGCGTCCTGCTTCCTTCTATTTCGACCTTCCACCGTCTTTTCTCCACCAGGCACCAGGCGCTGGATGAACTGAGCTGGCAACCTCCCGAGACACGATTCACGACCGCAAAGCCCAAGTTACATTCTTCTCCCTCCAGTCGACCCGGCCGGTGAGCTGTGACGTACCTACGAGCCGACACCCTCCCAGACTCTCTCTCCCCCTACCGCGCGTCGCAGGAACGCTGATGCCCACTGCCGCCCTGTTGCCCGGCATCCGTGCCAGCACTCGTCTCTTGATGCCCCTGTCTGCAATCACCGCTGCGCCAACCATCACACCCCAGACAGATGCCTGGTTATTGTAATCTTTCCTGTTCCCAGCGTGGGCATCGACCGCCCTCTTTTCTTTTCTTCCTCTGCCGCTACTAGGAACCGCTTCCTGTCGCCATTCGTCGAGGGCCACCCTCCCTTTCGTCACCCAACAGTAGACATCAGACATCAGACATCACCATCTCGGTGCCGCAAACGAGGACTGAAACGCAGTCACCGGCCACGGCGAAAAAACAAGCTCACGCACTGCCATTGGCATCTTGGGCTCAGCCATATACTTCCACGTTCATCATCATTTATTCATTGTCTGAGCGAACACGGCTTGCGTATAGCCTCACATCGACGCAACACATGCCGCTCGCCCACGCCCAAAGTCCTAACCAGGTTCAGCCCTGCTCGCTTGTCATAACGCCCTCCACTATACCATCATAGCGCCCTCGCCTTTCTCCGACGCGCCTGGTCACGTCTCCCGCGCTCGTGCAGTCCCATTAGGGATTACCCATACTCGCTTCTTTTCAGAAGAAGGCCGCCGGATACACGCTTTTCACTCCACTCCCTTTAAACAAGCATCATCCCGTCCTGCTGGCCCCGAACTGCATTGACGAACGATACTGCGTTGAACAACGCATTTGCCGCCCCCTCCGCATCCAACCAACGACGACAAACCTTCAGCACAAACAGAAAACGCTGACGGCGGCGCCCGTCGAGTGTGCACATGGACGGCTCAAATTCAGCGGCAGCCCGCGAGAGGTCGCGCCCGCCTTCTGCCTACTCACGCGCCCCGTCACGAGCCTCCACCAACGCATCCCACATCAGGATGTCCTCACAGAGCGCCAGTAGCTCCAACTCCCACCTTGCCACGGCACCACCTCCCAGACCCTCCTCAGTCGCCCACCATGCTTCCCATCGGTACCACCACACTACTTGCGCCCGGCAGCCCCCGATACCCAGATCACAATCCACTATGCCAAAACTAGCGTCCGATTCGGGGACATCGAGCTTCCTGCAAGAAAGATTACAAAGGAGGAGAGAGGAGGCAGAGCGTGCTGCCGCCGCACGTTTGGCTGAAGAGATGGCTGCTGCTGCTGAACCCCCAACTCGGACGGCACAAAGCTCGCCTGTCAAGGCAGGGTCGGCTGATGGACGTCGGCCAGGCTCTAGCGGCAGTTCTGAACCAAGCAAGAAGAAGGGCATGGGTGTCAAGGAAATGGAAGCTGTGAGAAATCCAAGCGCCAGACCACAAACCACGCAAGTGAGGCACCATGGCTAACCTCCTATAGACTGTTTCAACGCTGCATAAACAAAACTTCGACCTAAAACTCGAACTATATCACCGCCGCGAACGCCAAACGACCCTCGAGGAGAAGGTGGAACAGCTTGCCTCTGAAAAGGAGCAGTTGGAGGAAGTCAACGATAGACTGCTGGAGGAGCTGGAAAAACGGGACAAGGCTGTGCAAGAGGCTGTTCAGATGATCGTGCTTCTCGAGGCTCGGGTCGAGAAGCTCGTGGAAGAAAGAGAAATGGTGCGCCAGGTCGAGACGGCAGGCTACCTAGCCGATATGGACGCCTCCCTCGACGCCCCGACTCCTAAGGCTCGGGCTGCCGATCTCGCCAGGCTCGAGGAGGACGTCAGGAAACTCAATCGCATGCCGAGCTTTGTGTCTGAAAAGACAGAAACAACAGCGAACCTACGCAACGTCTACCTTGGTACTAGGGGTAACCTTACTCTACCGAAACTGACAGAAGGACTGGCGGACACCGATCCAGGAAGGGCCGGCATGGTGAGCCCAAGTCTCAGCGTCCTGAGCGAGAGCTCCTTCGCCAGCATTTACGGTGAGAAGGAGAGCGACGATCGATATCTGCAGAACGATATCGAAGGCGTACGGCCACATGCGGGTTCCCGAGCGTACTCGAATCCCTCTGATCTAGCATCGATGCCGCGATCACGAACTGTCACGCCCAGCCGTGGCCCACGCTCCGGCTCCTTTTCGCGAAGCGGATCTGGTCAGTACCAGTCCATAACCGATGTCATCGAGCAGAGCTCCCCTCTGCAGAGGCTGGAACGGCTGGAAGGGTACGCCTTGAACGGTGCGTCTCCGTCGACTGACAAGGTGGCTCGCACACGATCCCAATCGCAAAGCAAGACAAAACAAGAGAAACGTGAGGCCTTGCGGAGAGTCATGACAGATGCCCCTTCCCCGAACGGGCGCCCTCATTTCGACCAGGCTCTTCCGCCCACACCAGATACCATTTCGACCTCGACCCTTCGCCGCTTCAAAAACTCCAGCGGCGACACCCTTGTGCAGCAACCAAACACAACAACAAACGAGCGCAGCTTTCTTGCTTCATCATCGCAGAGGGCAGGTGAGAAACCAGAGCCAGTGCCTGAGCATAATGGTGGAGCGCCGATTATGGCTCCTTCAGCTACGACAACGCGCTACGAAGCCGACCTTGCTCATCATGGACACGGGCGACCACTCAAGCCTCAGCCCCGCCCTAGATCTGCGGACGAATCGACCATCTCCCACAGGAAGAGTAAAGCTTGGCTACAGGAGAATGGCGATGAAGACGACAATGCGTCCATCATGTCCCTTGAGTCGAGCCTTGATATTTGGATGCAACAAGGGAAGGAGCCCAAACAAGTCGGGCGAACATCGCCAGATCTTTTCGGATTCCCGACCAAGACTGGCGGCTGGGAGACGGACGCCATGTTTGGGCCGGGAGCATCGTACGGCGGAGGAGGCGCGCCTCTCTCGTGGCCGGACCCCCTCGAAGACCTCGTGCCTATTCAGCAGGCGCTCTTTGGGGGTCCCGGCGCACCGCCACCACCTAACAGGAGGTCGAGTCTGCATGCTAGGACAGGATCTGCTTCGACTTCACGACACCCCGAGCCAGTCATGGGCAAGCTGCGCAAGTCGTTCGGCCGACGACGTGATAGCACCGACAGTCAGATGCAGGCGAATGAGGCTGGGCCACATACGCCGCAGCAAACGAGTGAAAAGCAAGGGCAGGGACAAGGCCGCGGTCCATACCCACCGTTTACGCGGCCGGCCACAGCAACGCCTCGTGATGGCAGGATGAAAACGCTTTGGAGACGGTCTCTCGGTGGTACTGGGTCTGCGGCACCACCCAACGCCTCGGATCTGGTGCCTGAACCTGCAGTGTCCACGACGCCTACGGGGAGGCAGTCCATCAACAGCGGTGTCGGCACTCCCTCCTGGGTTCATCGGGCCCATATGGTGGATGACGACACGCGCGCTCTCGGCGCAACGCCGCCACCAATTCAGCGCCAACCACGACGAGGCAGTGAGGTCGAGCACGAGGGTGCGCCAGTCTTGGACCGCGGCCCTTCAACGCCGACCATGTCGGTGGCGCCAAGCCTGCCGTCTACCCCGAGCGGCAAGGGCCCAACGACGAGTGATCCAGCCCTGGCTGGCGCCCCAGGGGCCGGAGGAGGTGGAGCAGGAGCAGGAGGGGGCGTTCCTCTGGGTAACGGCGCCGGTACCGTCGCTGGGACAAGGAGGAAGTGGCTGCCTGGTTTTGGTCGTGCTAGCAGCCTCCGCAACAGGGCCGGTTGAGAGGACCGACACTCGTGCTGATGGTGGCGGTGGCTCGCAGAAGAAGAAGAAGAAGAAAATCCAAGATAGGAACGTCTTGGTCTGGATGTGGTTACAAAAGAGGGACCTACTTTTTCGTGCTGGGATCAGTACAGCATTAGCATTATTTTGAGACTGGGTGTTATGGGTGCCGGCGCGACGGGCGGTCACAGCGTAGCAACGGCGTTCCATCAGCCAGCAAGCAAGGCATGGTATTTAGGAAAGAGAGACGCGTTTTCGCCTGATGCCGTTTGCCATTCCGAAAAGAATGTGACGGAATCTCGGTGCTTCTGGGCACGAGCGACAGGAGGAGTATCAACCAAGCCTTGCCCCACCAATATAGGACGGTCTTCACCGTTCCATTTTAAACATCATCACGATGACCGCATCAACGCCGGTATCCGTTCGCGGACCAGACTGTCCGCATTGCCAACCTGTCTGTTGGATCATTTTGCTTGCTGTGCTGCAGACTTGTCTGTGATGCGGTCAATAAGGAATTGCCTCTATCGAGGCACATGGGTATTGTGTTGTTCAGGGTCTTTGCTGCGTAGGACTGTGTATCCTTTTCGCCCTGGCTCAACTGTCTAAACCTTCCGATTCAAATATCGCGCCTGTGCTGCCTCGCCTAGCACCAATGTCATCCCATCCCCCCCGCCAGGATCGCCATCGACGAATCCTGCCGACACCTTCTGAAGGACCACTGCTCACGACGAGGACATCGGCCTCAAGCTCGGAACTACCAACAACGAGACGGCCCCCGCGTCGTCAAGCCCCGGCGGCCTGCCAGGAATGTCGCAAGCAAAAGACAAAGGTGAGAGCTCTGCCTCGCGCGAGAGCATGGCCTCGTCTACCGACCAGCATCTGACCTTTTTTCACGACAGTGTTCCGCCCACAGGCCGCAGTGCCTGCGCTGCCAGCGCCTCAGCAAGGAGTGCGTCTACGACACGGCGCAGCTCGAGACGCCGCGGCAGTCGCTGCGGCGCAGGCACGGCGAGCTTGAGCTGCGCAACTCCAACCTCGAGCACCTCTTTGGCTTCCTGCGCGATGCGCCCGAGGCCGACGTCGCCGGCGTGCTGCGCCGGCTCAGGGAGGGCGCCGACCTCGACACGCTCGGCGCGCACATTCGCGACGGCGACCTGCTGCTGCAGATGGCTGTGCGGCCGGACCTCGTGTACACGTACACGTTTCCGTACGCGAAGCACATGCCGGCGGCGCTCGCGCAGGACGCCTCCATCCCCTACACCAAGTCGCTGCTCTACCAGAACACGGTGGGCCTCCTGGCGCGCCCGCAGGACGCGCGGCTCGGCGACCAGGACTGGCATCGGGTGTACCGCATCCCGTTCCACGCCGTCGAGCTCGTCGACCGGCGCGTCGAGACCATCCGGGGATCCACGTGGACGTCCATCGCCGTCGCCGACAGCGTCGTGCGGCGGCTGATGGGCGTGTACTTTATCCTGCAGCACCCCTTCTACACCTTCTTCGACAAGGACATCTTCCTCGAGGACCTCGTCTCGGAGCGGCACAGGTTCTGTTCGCCGCTGCTCTTCAACGCCGTCATGGCCGAAGCTTGCGTGAGTGTCCCGCCTCCTTTTCCACGCTCTGTTTGGAGCTGTGCAGATGCTGACTCTCGATTCCCTTCCTCGACAGCACGGCTACAGCGCCATCTCGGATCGATACCGGTTTTGGGACCCGCAGAAGCTCACGTACCAGTTCTTGGCCGAGGCGAGGAGGCTGTGGGAGATCGAGATGCAGTCGGGGGAGGACACGATTACCACTGTCCAGGCTGCCATGATCATGTGCGCCGGGTACTCGACCACGGGCCTGGACCAGCTCGGCACGGAGTATCTACGGCAGGGGGCGCGGATGGCTGAGAGACTGCAGATTTTTGGATCTCTGGACCACGTTCGGAATCCGCTGCGACGCAGGGTGTACGGCATGACGGCATGGGCTCTCTTTGGCTATCAGGGGTAAGTCCGAGTCCCCCCGATGCTAGACCATGGTCGCAACGATGGACCTCTGGGCGACAGCCGGCTGACGCTCTTTCTGTGCGCTTCGACAGCATGTTCGCCTTCCACATGTGGCAGCCGCCCGTCCTCACGACGCCCCCGGCGGTGCCGCTGGCCGACATCGAGGCCTACAATGGCGAGTACGGTGAGATCTGGGTCAGGTATCCGTCGGCGCAGATGCCGACGTCGGTGCAGTCTGGCGAGACGTTCATCATATTCAGCCAGCTTCGAATCATCATGGCGCAGATTGCCGACCTGGCGGCGCGCAAGAGGGCGCAGGGGACCAAGCTGACGGCCGACGATGCCGCCGTCTTCAGGACGAGACTGGTCGCGTGGTTCAACAGCCTGCCGGCCTTTCTGTCGCCGGACTACATCGCGCTGCCGGCCCATCTCAAGATACAGTGCGTACCCAAGCTCCGACTTGTCCTTCGTTTTCTGCAGAATTCCCCTCCTCGTGTCCTCCGACCAAGCCACGACTGACCCTGACCCCGATACAGTATGCAGTACCACAACGTCATGCTCTCGCTGTTCGACTCGTTCGCCGACCAGGGCAGCGGGTCGCCAGTGGCGGCATACCGCGAGATCTGCGCGCACTCGCGGCAGTGCCTCGACGTGCTGGTGCGGCTGTACTACCTCCGGCACGGGTTCGAGAGCTGGAACGACTCGCTGCTGACGTGGCTCCTCTACCTGGCGCAGCTGTGCATCCGCGACCTCGCGCGCGCCGACGACCCGCTCGCCGACGAGGCCACCGTGTCGACGCTCATGCTGTGCGCCAAGGGCCTGCAGGACCAGGGCCGCAGCCTGTACATCGCGCGCGTCTTCTTCCACATTCTGCGCCGCGAGATGCCCCCGGCCGTCGCCGAGGTGCTCGACCGCGACGTCACGGACATGGCGGACGACCGGTCCAACACGGGCACGGGCGCGCATCACCTGCGGGCTAGCTGGCCGGTGCAGACCATTTCCATCTCGGACGAGCCGGACCGGTTGCTCGAGAGGCTGAGTTTGGAGGACCGCAGGACGGAGGAGCCGGAGGACCAGTCGGAGGCGGCTGCGACGAGCTCGGACTATGAGTCTACGATGGAGCTGGGGTCGGAGCCAAGCGTTGGTTTGCCAGCAGGGACGTGAGATGGACATGTGAAGGTATCTATTGATCATGCGGCTTGGCTATTGATTCATGACACGGTCACCATGTGATCGGGCGTCGTGTGAGCGCTGGTGAGGTTTGTGTAGCTACAATACCTCATCGTAGAACTTTGGCCGAATACCACTCGAAAGTCTTTCATAGAGGGAAGGATTTAGAGGGTTCTTTAGGCGAACATCCCAGCTAATCCATCACTATGTATAACCGCAAGGAAATAACAAGTGCCGCCAAAAAGAATCTTCTTTTCTTCCTTTGTCAAGCTTTGCTTGTGGTGCTTGTGGTGCTTGTGGTGCAAAAGCAAAAAGCCGATAGCAACTGGACGTTTCGATCGTCCGACCTCCGGGTTATGAGCCCGGCGCGCTTCCGCTGCGCCAAGTTGCTTTGGTCGACGGAAACTGGTCACACTAAGCCTGTACATGAGCCTGTTTCAGGCCCACATCTCTTCTCTCGCCAGACTTTGCCTCCACTACGCTGATGGAATTATAAGGTTGAAACTTTTAGGTATCCATGAGAAACAACTTCCTCCCCATGTCCCATGGCACTATTTTGTCAGCGGAATAAATCTTGCTCGTTTCCCGCCACCTGTAAATGACCTCGTCACCACCCGCCTCAGCCCACTGACAAAGCCACAAGACCCGCGTCATGGCAGCCCGCCAAGTCACGCCCCGACCATGCCCACGACCAGCGCGAGTCGGTTACACCCGACGCTGTCCTTCTCGTCAGGAACCGGGGCCACCAGGGCATGTTGTGCGACCGAGATGATTGCATGTGAGAGGGGCCCTCTCTCGGAACCTTGGTCTCGAAATACCACATCACATCACCGCGTGGCGCATTCGACCGACTTGGATTGTCGCCCCCCCTTTTGCTTTGCCTTCGTGGCTGGAGACGGCGCAGGGTCGCAGGCGCCTCGGACACGAAGCAGATAGAGGGCGAGGATGGGGGGGCTCGAGTGGTCATTCACGACGTACGCGATGTTTCAAGAGGAGGTGCCTCGTGTGCTTTGGCAGGTCTGCGGTGCCGCATCCGCGCATTGATTCGGAGGCGGTTAGGGGGTATTGGCAAGGGACGCGCCGCCCCCTGTATCATGTGCTGGCAGTATTTGATGCGTTGTTTGGTATAAAGCAGCATGTCCTGCGTTCGTCGCATCGGCGCCCTGGTGTCTTGACCATCAATTCCCCCCCCCCCCCCCCTTCACTGCAATTTCTTGAGGACTTCACAGACAGTACACCCTGACGGTTCATCGCAATGTTGAAGTAACAAGAATTCCACACTCCAGGGTGCGTGCGGCAACTGACGTGGGCATCAGGTCATTCGAGTCGACGATGGACAAATCACTCTACCAATCACCGAAGCCCTCCAGTTTGATCAGGAACTATTCAACTGGAATGAACTCTGATGCCCATGGTTCGTCGATGTTGCTGAGCCTCGCCATCTACGCGCTGCAAAAGACAGCTTTTGTCTTCCGGCTCGTCCTCTTCCTCTTCCAGATGCTCTTCTTCTCAGCGCGAGCGTTTCCGGCTGGGCGGCGTCTCGAGGGCGCCTGCAGGTTGACATACCACGTCGGCCGGACAGAGTTGGACTGCGGACAGAGGCCATCGAATCGGCGGCCTTGAGCGCAGAACGTCCATCTTACGATACCCATGATATTTATAGAGGCGAGACTATGTAGACATGCCAGCAGACGCTGCAGGCGGTAATCCATCACCACACATTCATCTTGACTTTGTGCTTTATCCGACTTTCGACTGTCTCTCGATAATGACTTGCCAGCGCTGTACCTTGCATGGTCCATATGAAGCTGACGACGATGCTATGTGATGTGGGACCGACGCAGCGTTTGCTCATATCAATGGGGAAAGGAACACTTACAGGTGATATTCCAACAGAACCTCAATTTGCCTGGTGTGTAGCGTTTGCTCATATCAAGGGGCATAGGAAACCATGCTGAGGGGACTCCATCTGGACAGCAGTTTGCGTAATGTTTAGCCAACGAACTGAATCTCTTTGTATTCGTTTGCGCTCCACAATGCCTCTTTGATCACCGTATTTGCTGGAGGTCAATATCCAAGTCATACCATGGTCAACAAGTTACGAAGGCCAGGGTCGTCAACACGAGAACAAGCGGCACTACAACACCGAACGGATTACGAGACATTCAACAAAGGGTCGTTTCACTTGAGCCCTAAACTATCAGCAGGCCATACCCATTCGCTTGCTGGTTGAGAAGCTGGAATGGTTAGGTCTCCGTTGAGGTATGAGCATTGGCTGTGATGATGTGAGTGCGAACTTTGAGATCCTCCTGCTAGCAAGACTCCCCGTCTCGGTCTGATGTTATAGCTGTAGATGCCATCGTCCTTCGCTAGAAATGAAGCTGTACTCATAGTAGTATGCAACCGCCCTTGCAGACGAGACGTGCGAACCAGCTGTAGATGCCCGAGACAAGTCCTCATGCACCCTCCATGCCGGTCATCCCGACATTTGCGACCCTGTCATGAGCCTCAATGTCTTTGTCAACCGTGACCTATATCAGCCGTGAAGCCTGGGCCATCAGTTCGCCGACTATTCATCAGCTATTCGCATCGCCATCACGCCCTCTCCTTGCCGACTCCTCATTCCCGTGCTTCAACATGTTCTTTCACTGCCGTCGCAAGCAGCGCCCGCCCCCCGTCTTCCCACGCACGCCCTGCGCGCGGCTGGGCTGCAATCGCAGGGCGTTGAGATGCGAATCTCACGAGCGGGGCATCACCTTCTACTCGTTCTACTGCAAAGACCGTACGTCTGGCCAACGCCATCAGCTTAATTCCTGCTGACCATTCTCGAGACGCCTGCCGCCACCGCGCCGGCAACGTCATGTGTCCCAACCACAAGCAAGCCGGAGAGACTCGCTACTGCGAAGACCGCACGTCCAGACAGCCCAAGCCCCCGTCAGCAGCAGCAGCAGCAGCTGACCCATCATCACAGACACCCGCTGCCGGGCCCAGAACTGCAGCCGTCCCCGCAAAGCAGCCGACAGGAACGAGACATGGGCATACTGTCTTGGACGTAAGCCTACCCCTTTCCCACGCCGACATGTGGTGCAGCCCCCTCTGACAGACCAAAAAAAAAAAAAGACACCTGCCTCCTCGACGGCTGCTACCTGAAGCGCGCGCCCGACTCGCACATGTGCGCCCCGCACACCCCGCGCTGCCTGATCCCCGACTGCCCCGACCCGCGGTCGGCGACGGGCCTCTTCTGCGCCGCGCACAGCTGCGCCGCGCCGGACTGCGACGCCGTCATCGCCGCCGGCGCCTGGTGCCGGTCCCACACGCCCTGCCGCGTCCCGGGGCTGCACGCGCCCGCGCGCCGTCCTGCCGCACACCAGCAGCAGCACCAGCAGCAACAGCGGCGGCACCCACGACGCCGTCTGCGCTGAGCACGCGTCCCGCTCCTG